GATCAACGATTTTATTGTGATCACGTTTACACGGCCACACCAAGTGTATTTTCACCCTTGCCATGATCTTCTACACAGTCTAAATCGACAGCGTTGCTCCGCGTTTTGTGTGCGGGTGAAAGCGTGTGAGGGCGGCGACCAACGCACCTTTGTCTAGGAGTGACACTAAGTCGGTGGTCCACTTTTTGAGATGGAAGCATCTGCCCGTCTTGTTTCATTGTGGCTCCAGCTTTCCCTTTCCCTCAGGTTTCAGAGGCCGCGAGCGAATACTGGAAACATTGATCCTAGGGACCGGTTCACATTTTCTAGCGTGTTATGAATGTGCCAGGACTCGAGCAAGCGCCTTCTTACCAGATTTCTCTCTGTTTCTAAAAGAAAAGCGCCGTCGAAGTCGGTCATGCATGCTTTTCACAGCGCTCTGAAAAGAGCGCTGCGTTGCTTTTCTATCTTTCTTATGTCGTTTTTATGCTGGCGCATTCTTTCTGGCAATACTTGCTCTGGGCTGTAGATATCTGGACATTCAAAACACGGCACCTTGTAGACTACGCCTTGGCGTTGCTCCTTAGATGGTGGATTCTTCTAACACACGTACAAATGATAACCTACCTCTGATAAAAATACCCTCACTAGAGGTTGACGGGCCCCGAAAATTGAGGGAAAGGGAAAGCCGGAGCCATGTTAAAACAATACGGGTTGATGCTTTTAAAACCAACGCCATCACCCCTTTGAGGAATAGACCTAATCAGTCCCGAAACGTCGTGCTCTCTACATGCTTGACTAGAGCCATTTCAACATCCTTATTTTTATCAAGATGACCTTGTTCAAAAAGTGTTATCTTTATTTTGATTTCTCAATTATGCCCCACCTTATTTTCGCATTTGTGCGGCGATGGTAAAGAAAGGAACTTCAGGAATTGTCTTGTTGCGACGCATGATAAAACGTCTTTCTGGTATTAGTGTTCCCAGTGACAATGTGCCACTTGAACCAAGTAACCAAGTCTCACGTATAACTAAGGAAAGAAAGCCTAAAAATAGTGTGGATGAGCTAAATGGCACCTAATTAATGACTTGAGCATCTCCAAAGGCGTTTCTCGTGCTTCTTCTCACTTTGCAGTGTACCTCGTGCTTTACAATCTTCCACAGCAATATCTAAAAAGTGGACGACTCTGTTCAGCTGTTCACTAATCTTAATAAATAAATGCAAAACAACAGAAAAAAAAACGCCTGGTCAGCGCACTTTGCTGTCGCCCAAGTGAAGTGCTTTTTGAAATTTTTGCTCTCATTATTTCGGGGGCTTACACGTGGTACTTTAAATTCGCGGTGCAAGAATTACTCGAAAAGGCTTGATGCAGAGGCACCATTGAATCACAAATTCTTGCATGCCGCGATGGTAATTCGAGAGAGTCTTTGTGAGTACGTAGCAGTTCGTGTTCACCTGGAGTTTATGTGCGGGCGCACGTGTTAGACCTTCAGGGAGAGTAGTTATTTCTTTTTCTGCTCTTTTCCTTTCCTGTTCTTTTTGTCTTTTTTATTTCTTCAAAACTCCAACATATATATGAGAGAGATGGTTACAAATATAAAGCAGTCAACGCGCACGATACTTAGCAGCTCACAGAAATGTAAAACGGCTGCGCCTTATAACGAAAAGTGAGAAGCCTGCTCAAACAGGCCATATAGCTAAACGTGGCGAAACCATCGCTCCTTTCTAGGTTGTATTTGTTATGGCTGAATCTTACCACGCCACACGTGTTCACGGGGTATAGAGTTACGTCAGATATAACCAGTGCCATCAGTAAGCATTTTTTTTTCACTGTTCTTACGTACGAGTACATAGTATCTATAAACGCGAGCCATAGATTGTGTTCATCGCTGACCGTTCTCGGCCGGTTGCTGTCACGAATTTCTGTTTCGGCTCGGAAACTTTGCATTTCATTGGTACAGCACGCCTTCGTAACGTCGAAATGCACGTGGAATTGTTGTTTTTGTGCGTTAGGTAGCTGGGTACGCTAACGCGTGCACATTTCTACTTGATAATTATACGCCCGCCTGACGTACGTTCGTTGGTGAGACTTCTCTGAGGCACCTGGAAGTGATTATGTTCACAAAATAAAAAAAAACACTGTTAGTTGTTGCGTTAGAGTAGATAGCATTGCATGGCCCACTGTTTAAGGATAAAGGCATGCCCATTGATGTATAGAGGTAGTTTTCTTTTAGATAGTACAGATTATTTACCACAGTGCTAAGATAGGCAAGCACATCATCTTCACAGGCGAACGCTACGTCTAAGCGGAATCGTTGGGCCGCTACTGAAGTTGCATTACAATAAGTGCTTACAACAAACACGTGAAGATTTCACGGTTAACTTAAGCACAACTATTTATGAGAAAACTTATCGGTTTGAGCCCCGCTGCGGTGGTCTAGCGGCTAAGGTACGCGGCTGCTGACCCGCAGGTCGCGGGATCGAATCCAGGCTGCGGCGGCTGCATTTCCGGTGGAGGCGGAATTGCTGTGGGCCCGTGTGCTCAGATTTGGGTGCACGTTAAAGAACCCCAGGTGGTCGAAATTCGCGGAGCCCTCCACTACGGCGTCTCTCATAATCATATGGTGGTTTTGGGACGTTAAACCCCACATATCAACTTGTCGATTTGATCGTTGTCACGCCGGACACTTCCTTCTCCCGACGTGTATGATAACTATTTCTCTGAAAATTTTAAAATCTATTTTAATTTGCAATTTTTACTATTTTTAAACGACGATGCCAAAACCAAGGGTATCGTGCAGGAGTTTTTTTTTTTTAATGCATTCGCCTCATGCCACTCTGAGGCCTCTGCCTTCGAAGCAAAATGGTCGAGGCCTATGTACTGTGTGATGTCAGCGTGCGTTGAAAAACACCAACTGATTGAAATGTGTGGAACCCTACACTACGGCGCCTGTCATAATAATATCGTGGTTTTGGGAAGCAAAGCCCTACATACTATTATTGAAGGCAATAGCGATTCTGGGTCAATATGTTGCCATCCTCATCATTACCACCACCATAATAATAATAATAATAATCGTACAATTTTATTGGTCAAGGGAGTAACTCTGGACTTTCTTGGTGTTCTGGCTGCTGAAACGAAAGAATGGGAACTTCAAGTGCTTCTTTTGCTTGGCTGGAGGGAATATTCTTTAGAATTAACTGGCAAGAAAGTCAAAGCAAATAATAGGGATATATTTTGTAGTAAATATGATTTAAATGTAAATGAAAAAAAGTAGACGGAAATATAATTTGTTGCTGACAGTGACCGAACATGCAACCTTCAAATAAGGCATACAATGCTCTACAACTTCTCTACCAGCTGAGCTACAGCAGCGGTCGTCATCATGTCCTCGTTTGGGCATATGCATATATACCCCATTAAGAGGGTGTTGGGATGATCACCGCAGTAACTCTATTGGTAGGGCATCGAAGGCATTCTTCGAAAGTGGAATGTTTAGTTGCTGCCAGTGCTAAGTCATCTCCTTGTCAGTCAGTCAAGAACTTTAATATATGGTCCTGAGGAGTTTAAGCCACCAGGGTGCCCACGTGGGACATCCTAGCAGCCGCTACCGTAGGCGACGCCCGAGTCGGGGCGGGAACGTGGTGGCGTTCCGCCAGTTCTTGGGCCCTCTGGACTGCCTTAAGTTAATTTTCTTCCCAATTACATCATAATTACAGCAAATATTATCTCCCATATTTTTCTTAGCCTATTTGTCTCTTACGTTTAATAAAGTTATCATTATTCTTTCTAACACAACATTATAGCGACCAAGCGTTTCCGCCGTACATACTGATTTTTCAGACAACCTGCCCATGGTTGCCATAAAAATTTTATTTAAAATAGCAATTAGGAATAACCTTGAAGAACACCCTGTTCCCGCACAACCACTGGTTTTAGATCATGTCAAAGTGATAGTGAGCCAGATGATGAACTTACATTCCGTTTTCAATCACATTACTCAATTTTTTTAGATTCGCAAAGAGACATAATTTTTTTATAATTAGAATAATACCATTGTAGTTTAGCAATGCAAGTTCAAAAGTGCACAATTTGATGTGTTTGAACGCACACATCTATAATGGACAAAGAGTTCTTACAATCCTCCATGAGTCTGCCTTACTCTCTGCTCAAGCATTAGTGCGCTGTGAAGAACTCCTAAATGGATTATTGCCAAATCGACCAAGCTTTAACTTTGCACGTGGGGAATATACCTTAACTTTGAAGTGCGACTTAAAATTATTCAAGTGTAGCTCAAGTGAAAGCTGACGTGAACATTCCCAAGACACCCATTGCGTTTACTTGGATGCGTTTACGTCAAGAGTAATGATAGCGCCATCCTCTCAAAACTTGCCGAGGCTTCATGTTAAGGAGCATTTCTGAATATAGCGGTAACTCAGTCGTTTAGAACGGTAGCTGTTTGTGTCTCTAGGGGCTATTTTTATTGCGTTAACCACCATTTTTATACTGCTTACCACCTTGAGTAGCGAGCCACACTCACATCTCTGGCATATAATGGTGGTATGTACTCTGCGTCTCTTTAACATAACGATAGCTTATGCAACAAAACTAACTGTTTAGCAAACAAATTCACACCGATTGGAGTTTCTAAATTTATAACTTTTTGTGCCTGTTAGGAACGGCAGTAAAAAGCGGTCGCTTGAATAAATTACCATTGATAGCCAGATATATGCAGCGCAATAGGGTGAATAAGTGAACCAATTAACACTCTTCGTGGAGAAAAGTATCAGGCGAAAGACATAAGGCTATCTATGGTATGTCACACTGTATGGGTTCCTTTTTCTTTTGTCCTGTGTTCATCTTTCGATTAAAGTTTTGTAGCAAGGAGGTGTACAACTAATACCATACCATATATATTAGAATATTGCCGGTGTATTGAACACCGGCTGTTCAGGACGCGCTCAGCCATGAGTTGGAGCGACTCGCAGCCGGGGCTCCCACATTTATGCAAGGACAGACGTATATTGCAAATGTATATTTTATTGAAAAAAATATATTTTCTTTTTAAAAAGAACCATTTTAAGTTCTGTGGCATTGCATTTTCATTTTTGGTAAGTTGAGCTGAACGTTTTTCATCAGCCATTATGGTTTTCTTCTGCCTTCGGTGGAGATGTGGGCGATAGTGAGAGTAGAACATGATAGCAGGTAAGATTAAAAGACGACTAGACGTGATGCTTCAGACCTGAAACAAAGAGACAAACACAAATAGAAGTAAAAAAATGTAGTCTTTGAAGTTGTTCTTTCAATACGTTCGCGCAAAAAATAGTGCACTTCTCACACCATACCTGAAATATCTTTTTCTAGAACGCCATGGAAGGATGTGCTGTTATTAAAAATCATCACTTCCTGATTTATGCGTTGCCTGCATTTTTGTCAGACAAACATGAACTGTGTGGTTATAATAGAGGCCTTTACGGCAACGTTCAAACATCAAATAATCATGGAGGAAGCAAGCAATCAAAGACCAGAGATAAGGTTTTACGGTCTGCGCCGAATTACGAAAATTCAACAATGATAAATACATATAAACATGCATGTTACAAAATGCCAGTAAACATGAATAATCACGCAATTGTATTTTTAAATGTTGGCACAATTTTAGCTTCTTGGCACTGATAAAACGCCCGCAATAGTAGAAGGCACCGTAATCATGGCTTTATTACCTTCTAATATCCGACTCCGCCACCAAAGTGTTGGCCGTGGCTCTGGCTTCCGAAGCCGGACTTGTGACCAGCGGAGCCACCAGCGAATCCACCCGAGTGCTGACCGTAACCGGTTCCATAGCGGTTCGAGTCAGTCTTAGAGAAGCCTGTGCTGGAGCTGTACCCTTGCTGGTTGTTGTAGCCCTGAACGTTCTTGAATTGGTCACCTCCAGCGAAGCCTGCCGAGCCCTGGTTGTATCCTCCAGCTCCTTGCTTGTAGCCACCCTGGAAGCCTCCGGCACTTTGGCCGTATCCGGCCCCATAGCCACCGCCATAGCCACCGCCACCGTAGCCACCACCGAGACCGCCACCGTAGCCACCACCAAGACCGCCCCCGTAGCCGCCACCACCAATAGGACCAACGCCTCCGACTCCTCCGATGGGGACACCTCCGACTCCGGGTCCGAAACCTCCGCCGTACACGCCAGGGCCACCATAGCCTCCGAGCAGGCCTCCACGGCCTTCTACTTTCTCATCCTTGCCGGCAGCCTTCTCGTCTTTCTTGGCTTCTTCGGCGAAGGCAAGGCATGCTACGCCGGCAAACACAGCGAGGCAAAGAAGCTGCGAATAGACAAGAAGACTAAGATTGATATCTGTGCTTCGTTTTATCTGTTTAGATCTCTCTAGACGCAGAATTTCAATCAGCCTTTTACGCGCTCACAGTCTCGAAAATATATTTGTCGTACTGCACTGCTGAGCCTAGTTTCTACGTACGAGCGCATTACGAAAGTTGAAATTTCAGTCAGTTCAAGTTAAGTTATGCTACTCGTATAAGGGCTTTGCGAAAGATAATAAGGATATTGACTATATTCAAGTGATTAGATCAACACAAAGCAAACGTCACTTCAATACAGAGCTGAATACCGACGGCCGATAATGCAACTGAGAGTACCAGTAGGTCGACTGGTGCTCTTAATTGCAACAGACACTGAACGCTGTTCAATGTATCTCCATGGTAACGACCCATTTAGACATTTTATGCAGGCATAATAATCTTAAGGGTAAAATAAAACTCACATCCACGTTGTAGACAGTAATGTTTCACTTCACCACTGCGCGCTTTCGAACGTAAGATCACTCTACTACAGAGGTATTTCCAGTGTAAATGAATAAAACGGAGTGACGGTTGCGAGCACGCTGAGCGATGAGAGCTACAATGAACTAAAAGACTATATAGTGGAGATATGACATACTACACATTCAGAAGAACCAGTTTATCTCAACCAGCCTAGCTGACTAGTTGTCATCGCCCCACTTCAAGGGTGTACATTATTAAGAAGCGTCATCATCACCATCACGACCAAACAATAGTGACCACATAGAGACACACTCTTACGTAGGTCAAGAGTAATTTCATGCAGATATTCATATACAACGAAAGGTCGAAAACAGACAAACGCCACGATCCTCACCTTCATGCTTAAGCAGGGCGCCAGTTGTCTGCGATCGGCGAAATAATACTGACTCGTTCTTTCAGAGCAGATGTAAAGTTTTTGCCGAGCGCACTAGCTTTTATAGACAGTCTGGTATTGTGTGGAGAGAGGGGGCGAAGGTAAAAGAAGGAATTTCTGGGAATCGAGCCACAGGATGACGTCGCGCCGCAAGAAAATGGTGCGCAACAAACAAAGATGGACGCAACAGCCACTTTCTTTGCCGCTCACTCATCGGCTGTGTGGCAAGAGGACACACATGCGAGGAGGGTGATGAGGGTTCGTTTGGCCTTGCAAGTGCTCTCGGCAGCACGCGGTGGCACGGGCACGAGCATTGCGCGGAAACAGTGGGTATACTCTCCCCCATGCAGCCGCCGCCTTTCCCCGCGTGCTCCGTTGCTGGCTCATGACGTCCGAGTGATTATTGGTTCACTTCTACGTCTTTGCTCTCCGTTCTCTGCTTCTTTCTCTCTTTTCCTCTCCCTCTTCCCCCTACTTCTGTTCATTCAGTTACGTGCGAGGTAATCTCTAGTGGTCATTTTCCCAGCGACATCCAAACCAGAGAGCACGCCGGGAAGGCAAGATAACGATTAGGTGATGGACTCTCATGCATATTTGATGTCGTGTTACGAAGCGTTGCCTTGCGACGATTGCGGGCGACCCACACGAGCAGTTGCAGAGTTCACGGCAATAAGCAGCGGACCATTTCCATTTCCAGGGAAGGAACAGATATTCGAAAGTAAGTACAAAGGGAAAAAAGAAACACAAGCGAGAATTCCGGAATCTGAGGCGGAAAGAGACGGGCTTTCCGAACGGGAAAGCCGAGTTGCGCAAATGGGTCGCTGCTCTAGAAGCTCCTGAAGAAGCGGCATTGTTTGCAATTGTTGGGTGCTCGACAGGAACGCACACTGTAACAGTACTTCCGACAGATGTGAGACTAGAAAGTGGAACGAATTGTTTGTGAAGTAAACATGGCCCAAAGGATATCCCATAAATAAATAAGGAATTCGGTGGGCTTGGACGTTTCACTCATGGTCTAAGGCGTTTGTAAAATATTATTTTTCTCCAAAGTATAAGAAACAAGAAATTCAGGCTCCCATAAAATGACCAACATGAGCCTTAGAAGACAAGATGGCCCAAAAATTGTTCATGAATTGAGGTCGCCTTTTGATTTAACGTGCCGGTATAGGTCAACTCATTATCGAAAGCATGACTGAAGGGTAGCAATGTTGTTCCTCTTTGTTTTATATATTTCTTTAAGAGTATCATATAGAAGCAATTAAAACGAGGATTCGCCGAGTCTAAAAAGAGAAATCACGTGTGCTTTGTGTCCATACTTCTAGAGCTACAGTCGTATACGCCTCAATGATGCAAAATGACAGCTTTTCTCTTACGATTTGCGAGCAATTCTATACAAACTCAGACAAGAATAAAATTCTACCCACCATGGTGGTCAAGTGGCTAATGCACTCGGCTGTCAACCCGCAGGTCACGGGTAGAATCCTGGATGCGGCGGCCGCATTTCCTATGGAGGAGAAAATGCTTCAGGCCCGTGTACTTAGACAAAGGCGCATCCTTAGGAACCCCAGGGGTTGAAATTTCCGGAGCCCTCGACTATGGCGTCTATTGCAGTCATATGGTGGTTTTCGGACGTAAACATCAGCAAATATCATCCTTAAGAACGAAATTCCGTGTACGATTATAATGTGGATGTAGCCCTCTCTGCAAAAAAAAAGAAGGAGGCAGTTGTGTCAGATATCAGGCTTTTGTGTGTACTTGCTGTTCATTGGAAGGAAGAATATACAGGTTCTATAAGCGTCCCCATCGTAACGGGAAATGACATGAGAGCAACTTCAAGCCGTTTTATTGTTTTATCTAAAACGAATTATCCTACGCCCCCCCCCCCCCTTTTTTTTCCGAAAAGTAAAAACAACTTATACGTCAAAACTGAACACTTTACGTTATACGGTAGTGTAATTTCCATTTTTTACTTATGCAGTTTCAACAGCGCACCTGCATGTTTAAGATGGCATTAAAAACTGCAGTGTTTGGAAAAAGGCACCACAGGTAGGTATGCGACTCAGGCATTGGGTAAGTCCTTTTGCTGAGTACAGCATTTTCGAGCGCTAAACTGCTGCTGAGCTAATTGAGCGAAACACGTGAAAGACAGTGAGAGAAGAAGAAAGATAGAAAGCAGGAGAAAGATAAAATAACGAAAAAAAAGAGAGAAATAAAGAAAATTGACATATAAAACAATAGGAAGACCAAAAAACAAAAATAATAAAGACATGAAAAACAAGGAAGGCGACCTCGCTCTGCTCTTCCTTTAAGCTTGGTACCACTAATATGAAGCTGCCATAATTCTTCATTCTATCTCTCTTGCTCCTTTCGTTGATGTATAACACGAGCAGATTGCCTTTTCCTGCGCTATCTCTAAAACCGAGGGCTTCAGGTAGGCAACTTTCAAACACGTGGGTTCACGGATGGTGCTCGTCCAATTTCATTGACGAATTCTTGTTATGTGGTTAATGTCCCTTCTGAGGGAGCTTGAAATAGACAATGATGATGGAAACTTATTGCAGTAAGACGGCAAATTTGGCCAGTTTTTTGGGATCCATCGTGAACTTGTTAACAGCACAACACTTGAAATATATCACAAGGAAGGAGCAAAAGGGAAAAAGAAAAGACGGCGCTGATTCACAACTGTTCTTTATAGTAAGAAAAATTTGGCATACCCTATGCACCTGGGAATTGACGTTATGCGAAGCATGTGGAGGGAAGGTTACCATGTTGCAACTTTTTTATTGTGCGACTCGTCATCAAACGACGCTAAATATATTCAAATTGTTGCACGCACAGAAATATGTTGAAGAGTTGCAGATATTTATTTATTCAGCTGTTTGCACTTGCGCAACGATGCCAACTGGAACATGCGTATTAGCACACCAGAAGCTGATATGAAGCGCTCATGCCCGTGAGGATGCTGGCCCTGCACACTGCTACATAAATCAATTTTAGCGCATGGCAACTAACCACAATTGACGTTAACTCGACGTGGCGGCTGTATAAAAGGAGCACATATACATGTAATGTTTATAAAATTGGGTAGGCAGCACTGCAACCACTATTGACGTTTCACGATGAGTAGCGTCTATTTGAAAAGTAGTTCTGGGACCTGGCATAGCTCTTTGGTAAAATGCTTGAATGCCACGCAGAATGGTTGGCTTAGATTCCAGCTGGGACCCTGACATTTATTCTTTGCATTATGTGATTGCGATTCTTAAAGGGAAAAGAAAAGTGAGCCCCGTAACTGTCTGCAACAAAGTGTGACGCCTCAACAGTAACTCACAAGGGATGGGGGTAAGGAGGGATTAAAAGAATAGGATTAAAAGTATAGAGATAGAGAGGGCGAAGGAGAGAGCAAAGCGCAAGGACAGTGAGCGACGGAAGTAAAGAGGAGATAGAAAAGATGGACATGGTCGCAGGAGTTCAAGGATGGGGCACCTTTCAGCGAGAGCTCATGTTGGCGGCAGGAGATGGCGTAGGGGGAGCCCAGTCGGGCGGAGCTGCGTTGTCGTCAGAGATCGCGGGGGAACAACCGGTCGGCACGAAATCCAGGGAGTGAGTCTATTCTTTGCCTTCGTCGGTTTGGCGCTACCGATGTCGGGTATTTCTTAACGCTCGCGTGTTAAAATTGCCCATCTGTGTTCTCGTCGTACCTGGGTAGATACTTAGTGTCAATCGCCTGTAGCACATACCCGCATACCAGCGGCACATATCCACTCGTGGGCATGTGCCACTCTCTGGCGGGAAGTGTTTGACGACGTACATGACGAGATTGTGACATTATTCATGTCTTGACGAGCGCGTCATATTCGTCAAGCCATCTTACCCTTCCATGCCATTTTGGTTCTCGCCAAGTTAAGGGGGTGACCACGAGAGCACCCAAACGTAAACGTGTAGAAGATAGATAGATAGATAGATAGATAGATAGATAGATAGATAGATAGATAGATAGGGTCAAAGACGCCGAAGTTTACTATTGAATTTAAAAAAAGGTGACACACACACACACACACACACACATATATATATATATATATATATATATATATATATATATATATATATATATATATATATATATATATATATATATATATATATATATATACCCTACATCACGACATGCACAGAACATGCCCTTTCCTTTTGCTGTGTTTCAAGTGTTGTGTGTTGCACTGTTATCAAGTTCATGATGGATGATGATATAAACATTATTATTATTATTATTATTATTATTATTATTATTAATGTGGCTGTCGCAGCTACGCTTTGCATCTCGTATTAATACCACATAATGGTGCTTATAAACAAAGAGCTTTTTTTTAATTTCGGCCCAACCACCTATGCCTTCGATCCGTATTCACAAATATTGCGCTAACAGGTCTTAATTCAAACCGGCGTTCAGACACATAGGGCTCGTGCAAGAGATAGGCGTGATCAAATTGACCACATCAGCAAATCGCGAATGCATGTTTTGTAAAAGGTTTTGTGTTGATGATCTCATGGGCTAAGATAGCAAAATCATTCGTTCTTAAGTATTATTGCCATTGGTCGGCCTCCCTAACCAATCATACACCAACATTAGTTATTGAATTAAAATTTTTATAATAATTCTAGTTGGGCATACTTTTGTTAGTACGCATGGGAACAACATGGGTGCCGAAGCAATTCGTGCGTGTACTTTTTTTTCGCAAGCTAGCTTACAAAAAGCTGCATTGGATGGAGTACTGTACCTAATTTGGGCATCATGTACTGGCTCCTGTTCATCGCTGGTACCTTTCAGCCGAGTCAACAAACCAGCGAGTAAGAAAAATGATGGCAAAACCTAAAGTTTGTCAGTCTGGTGTAATCGGCGATGAACTGTGTCGTCTGCTAAATACCTTAGAATCTCTACGAACGCAGACGTCTGCTGAATATATGTAACCGGCGTTCAAGGAAATCTGTCTAGCTGTTCTGTGATGTGTTTTCTAGGGACTGCACGTGAGGATTGGGGCGAAGAAGCAAATCATTTATACTTCTCGTG